GCTTCTGATGCATACTTTCACATTTTACATCTGCATTTTTAACTACAATGTTGATGAAAGCTGTATAATTTTGTGATGGCACAATATACTGTAAATGCAGTTTGAAAGTTAGTAAAGTAGATATATTTATATTTTACCGAGTTTTAGTTTGTTTATCTTTCCCCTCTGTAAAGTGCTTAAGCATATTATTTATGTATAAATCGTTGTTTAAAAGTTTGGGGTCAGTAAGATGTTTTCAGGAATTCATACTTTTATACAACAATTTGCACTGAATTGGTCTAAAGTGACAGTATAAACTTTAAAAATTTGACATTACAAATAAATGCTGCATGGTCTTTTGAATGTTCCATTTATTAAAGATTCCTGAATAAAAATATATCAGTTTCCCCAAAAATATGAAGCAGAATATCTGTTTTCAACACTGATAATAATCAGAAGCATCAAATCAATCATATCAGATTGATTTGGACTGAAGACTGGACTAAAAATTAGTCTTTGATCACAGGAATAAATTACATATTAAAATATATTCACATAGAAAAAAGTTATTAGTAACAATTTTACTGCTTTCACTGTATTTTTGATCAGATTAATGCAGTCTTGTTGAAGAGACTATTTTATAAAACATTTTTAAAAAAATGAGTGACCCTAAACTTTTAAATGGTGTATTTGTGATGCATCGTTTTAACTAAATAGTGTTAAGGCAAAAAAAAAAAAAAAAAAAAGAATATTTTATCTTTACAAAAAAAAATCAAATTGTGAAACTGAGAAATGTGTAATAATACAATGCTCAGAGACACTTGACATGTGTTAAACTGCTTAGTTGTGCAGGATTTTATGTGTGCTTATCATTTAGTGGCATGAAAAAAACAATATAAGCATATTTTTCCACAAATCAATAAAAAATAATTCTGATGAATCGTCCATGAATGCTTCATTGACGTTTAGATTATACAGACTCGTAGAATCGTCTTTTATTGCTATACAAATAACAAAATTATGAAACCCAAGGTTGTAAAATGAATAAAACATAGTGTAGAATAGTCTCCACTTTTAAGTTTGAATATGAAATTTAATTGAGCATTTGTTTCTGATTTTATGTTGATTTGACATTAGTGAAGTCTCCATAGCCCAGGAAAAATAAGAACAAATCTTCTCTTGTGCACCAGCTTCAGTAAGCCAAGGTCACTGAGTGTGTGGCTTCATTGACAGGTTCCAGTAGGCAGGAAGGAACCAAGGAATTAAGTGGCTGATGAAATAAAATCTGCTGGTATTTTGAATGTCCAGACTCTCGCTGTGGACGGTATAATCAGGATTTAGTTTAGATATTCATTCTTCTTCTTCATCAAGCTCTGGCAGAGGATGCAGCGTCCGTGACATTTGTGTTGATTGGCTGAAGACTGTCCACAGCTGTAGGGAAATCCAGCTCATTTCCTCTGTGTGTGTGTGTGTGTGTGTGTGTGTGTGTGTGTGTGTGTGCGTGCGTGCGTGCGTGCGTGCGTGCGTGCGTGCGTGCGTGCGTGCGTGCGTGTGTGTGATGTCTCTTAATTTTCATACAAGAGTACTTTATTTTGCTTTGAGTTGGACTGGGAAGCTTGTGGGCTGCTGACAAGACAGTATTTCAGTGTGTTTTATGCACATTATTGACTGTGGATTCATGGAGGATTTTCTTTTCTTTTTAGTTCCTAAAACTGTCTATCTGAAGATATACATTACAATTTAAAAGTTTGGGGTCGGAAATTTTTTTTAAATGATATAAAAAAATAAAATACAAACCAAGGCGGCATTAAATCAAAATAACAGTAAAAACAGAATAAATACTTTGAAATATTAAAGCAATTTTTAAAAAAAAAACTTTTTTTTCTTTTTTAATACATTTTAAAATGTAATTTATTCCTGCACTGTAAAAAATAATATGTTCATGATTTGTAATCACATTTTATTATTTTGTAATCACAAAAATCACACAGTGTAGCTTTAAATGAAATAGAAATCTATTTTAAAAATGTCTTTACTGTCACTTTACTAATTTAATGCATACTTAATGAATAAAAGTATTCATTTCTTTCCTCCAAAAGTATTCATTTTCGTTTGTTGATCTGCATCTCACACAGAGGAATGAGCTTATGATGAGTCATAACTGACTCATTCATGACCAATTTAATTACAAGAGTTCTGACTCCATAAAGAACTGTGAAAAGCTTTGAGATATTAACAGGTTTACGTGCCAATAAAACTATCGCACTTCAGTCATTTTAGTGCACACTAATTATCTGAAATTACATGCAGCACAGTGTATTCATAACTAAGGCCATGAAATGAACAAATGACAATGTAATGAAGAATCATTCATTTTGATATAGTGTCTCAGTGATGTTTTTATGTGAATTTCTGGCCGCAGCATTTTAAATGCCAGTACCAGGTGGATGGATTACATGGTTTGCCTTAAAATGTTAGACAATTACACTGAGACATACGCCACCATGTGGTTGACCATGAAAGTTAACCAGTTCACAGAAGGAGGTTTCACCACAACCAGAGATGCTGTTTATTACTGGTCGAATGTTTGAATAATTAGTGTCTTCTGCCCAACAAGGCTGTATTTAATTAAGAAAAAAATTAAAACTGTTTTATTGTTAATTATTACAATTTAAAATCGTTTGCATTATAAATGTATTTACTGTTAGCCTACTTTTGATCAATTTACTGCATTTTGCTGAATATTTTAGTTTTATTTTAGTTAATAGCAAAACTGTTTTTAACACTGATAATAAAAAATATAAAAGGCTAAGAAATGTTTCTTGGGCATCAAATCATCATATTAGACTGATTTCTGAAGGCTCGGGTGACACTGAAGACTGGAGTAATGAATCAGAAAATTAAACTTTGCATCTCAGAAATAAATTACATTTTAAAATACACTCAAATTGAATATTTAAAATAGTATGACATTTTAAATTGAAAAGTTTTCAATTCAGTCTTGGTGAGCATAAGAGACTTCGTAACACACTCTTCTAAATATTGATGATTTCTAACCCTTACAAACATTTATAGGCTCATTTCCCAAAACTAATATAGAAAAATGTCTTACATCTGTCCTTGTTTAAACTGGAAGGCCTGGCGTGGATTGGGATCAGTTTTGTGGCCTGTTTAATAGGCTGTTTAACAGAAAGCGCTTGACCTTTAGAGACAAAAGACTAATATTAGTGGAGGCAGTATTTCAGATATGATAAAGTCTGACATGTATCAAAATTAGCTTGACCTCCGGCAAACGTTTTTACAATAGATCCTATAAATCATTTGATTAGACCAAAAACTGCATCTCATACACCAAGGAATCAATGTTTTCTGGTGTATACAGCACACACACCCACAAACACACACACCCAGACAGGTCACCAGACTGCTTGTTATGCACTGTCAAATCAAATCATGTGGGAAATACATACAGGGCAGGGCCTGTATTTTAGTTGGTTTGAAGAGCACCACACCTTATCATTTATACATTTATGCACTTTCAAATGATAAGAATCCTGGCTGTGTTTGTCCATGCTATATTCAGAATAGTATCCAACCATGCTCACACTGCCGTATGTAATATGCATTACTTATAGGTGCATAATGTTTACATTTTTTGGTATGCATTGAATATCTGGATATTTAAAGAGCTTAAAATGATACTCCATCAATGCAATGCCTGACATGCACATCTTTCCATTTCCAGTGTAATTGGTGAGTAATATTAGTGGAATTTTCATTTTTAATTATTTAATAAGATTAAAACAATACAAAACTGAGTTCAAATCCAATTTAAAAGGATAGTTCACCCCAAAATGACAATCCTGTCATCATTTACTCATACACTCAAGTATCCAAACAAATCAATTTGTTTTTCTGTTCAAAGGCTAAAGATATTTGGTAACCAAACAGTATATCTTCTTTTATGTTTAGCATAAGAAAGAAATGCATACATGTCGGTCATTCATTTTTGGGTGATCTGGCCCTTTAAGAAAAACCAGAACGTGCCTACTTGAACTAAACATGCAAAATTATGCTTGTTGTAAATTGTTTAAGACGGTTTAAAACGTTTCTTGTTGCATAACGCATTCTGCTTTGCATACAAATGAAAACAGTACGCAGAATACAGTGAATACCTGGGAAAGCCCATATTTTCATAGTGCTACTGTCACTTTAAGGAATGATGTAATCAGTTAAGTTTGTTTAGCTCTCCAGTTGGTCAGCCCGAAGCCGAAACACTGAGCGGCAGAGACACTCGGAGGGATGGAGTTTTTATTAGGAAACCCTTTTTCCTCACCCGTGGGTCAACTTATAGGTGAGTAACACGCTGGATGAGGTCGCAAATGAAATAACTCGCAGTACATTTAAGCTAGCGTCAGTTTAGCACAGAATACAGATCAGCAAGTGTACTTTAACTTGATGTATGGAATGCGACTGCTTGATGTTTACATCAAATATAATATTCGCTCCTGGTTTTCTTGCAAGACATGAACAGAACACGTATACATCGTTTAATTACGGATGACAGCAAATGATACGATTAAAATGAGATTGACACATCATTCGTGCAAACCAGAATCGGAGGCGCCTCATCAACGCGTTCGTGATTGGCGGAGTTGCGTGTCAATCAAACGCCATCTGCAAATAGGGACAAGGAGGTTTGTTCGAAGTTGCTTGCACGTCTCTGTGCATCCTAATAACGTTTTTGACCCATTTCTTTGCCGCAAGAGCAAAATAACCATTTGCATCCGAGAATTAAAACGGTTATGTAACCACTCAATCCAGATTTTAATGCTGTTTTTGCAAGAATTACAATAATAAGTCTACGTTTCATTCATTTTAAGGGGTGGCCTCTTGTTCTGCTGTGTGCTAGATAGTGTCGTTGCAGCTAGACTAGTCTCATCTCAGCATAGAGCAATTAGCCAAACGCCATAATTATGCATTAGCAGCAAAATTATCTTTGCAATGTTCTACTCATCATCGCAAATTTATCCTTACAATTGTCAGATTATGAATATTAACTCAATTAATGGTGTTATTTTTTTCTGTGGAACATCTTTAAGAATTGTAATCAACGTCATCGTCTCTTTTAGCGTTTAATAAGTCAGCATGCCATGTAATGGAAGTTGCGAAAATCTTTTCTTCTTCCCAATTGTGAGTATATCCAAGTGAACGCTTTTCAAACAAGAAAAAATGTAGGCTGGGACTTGATTGGATGATTGTGGTTTGCTATTTCTGTGATGTCATGTGAATGACAGGTTACCCCGCCTTCACGCCAGTGAACATCAGAGAAGAGCTGGCATTACAAGAGGAAGGCAAAGTTATTTTGATTAATGATTATGAGGGCTCATGAATTTAAGTATGATAAACCATTTATAATAAGTACTGCAATATTGCGTAAAAAAACAAGAATTGTCAATTTTGATTTCATGGTGACTCATGGATAGTCACCTTATGGAATGACACAAGCAGTGTAAAGAGGGAGCTTTTGATGGAACTTGCCCTTTCAAACTGTTGAAAAGCCTGTTTTCCCTGCCCAGGTGCGGAACCTTGCGCATTGTAAACAATACGACAAGTCATGTTAAACTAGCTTGTTAGTTTATTAAACAAACTAGTTAGGTATCGTAGTTCAAATTTCCAGTTCAGCATATGGATGGGATTTCATTAATCCAGTATGAGAGGAGTTTCAATATGAGACCTCTTTGTAAAGTTAGTCTGGGCTCTTCATGACAATAAGGAGCTATTATGTCAACACAAGTTCAGTGCTTGTAACTTTGATAGTATTGCTGTGACTCATAAAGCTCTTGGCTGATGAGTAAGATAACAATGATGTCCTCCTGGTGTATTTTAGGACATTCAGCAGATAGACTGTTCATTGATTTGATCCTAAAGTTTATTTTGTGCTGTGGATTCTATTGATAAGGATCAGTACAAGTTAGCTTGCAAACATCTACATAATTGCTACATAAAGTATGCATGTAATAGCCATTATTTTAAACCGAGTGTTTGACTGTTTCTTGGTGTCTTTCTCAGAACATGCCACCAGTGCTTCTCTCCCGTCAGAAGACTGGGGCCTCAACATGGAGATCTGTGACATTGTCAATGAAACAGATGAAGGGTGTGTATGTTGTTAGACGATAGATTTCTGTTTATACAGTCATGACAATGGATTTTATTTTTAAGCCTTCCCTAAATGTATTTGGACACATAAACTACACTTAAAACATCTGAACGTTGTATTAGGATTCACAAAATTGTCTTTCAGCCGAATCCCTTCGACCTTAAAATATTTAGAGATTTTCAGGTTGACATTTCAATAGCTTAACAACACATGCACATATTCACAATTCTGTGATGTCGGTTAATGCTCACATGACATGCAGGTAAACAAATAAATTATTTCCTTTTGATACTGTACTCTGATCTATTATAAATCAGTGGATATATGACAAGTAACAATAAAAAGATAATGTTTCACAACCACAACTACAGTTTGTCTTTATTTTGAGCTGTATAGCTATTGTTTTAACATTTAAAACTCTCATTTAGCTTAAGCTGTCACTATTTGCATAAAAGAAAAGTGTCCAAACCTGAATAGTTCATTCAAGTATAGTGCTTTGAGTTTCTAGATTGTATAAAATTCATTGTTTAACATATTTTTTGTTATGCTGCTCTGTTTGCAGACCTAAAGATGCAGTCAGGGCAATAAAGAAGAGAATTCTGGGAAATAGGAATTTCAAAGAGGTCATGCTGGCTTTGAGTGTAAGTGTCAAACATATTGTGAATACCATCAAAGCCTCTTCCTCATGTTTACACATTAATAATTCACATTACGTTTTGAATTGTGCATTTTGCTGCAGGTGTTGGAGGCCTGTGTGAAGAACTGCGGGCACAAGTTCCACATCTACGTGTCCACCAGAGACTTTGTGGAGAACGTTTTGGTCCAAACAATCCTGCCTAAAAACAACGCACCCATGGCTCTTCAGGACAGAGTCTTGATCATGATACAGGTGCGAATAAACCCTTTGTCAACTCAGCTAGCGCTCAGAGTAAATAGTGTCACATGATCCTTCAGAAACCACTCTAATATGGTAATTTGCTGCTAAAGAAACGTTTTTTTCTTATGGTTAAAAACAGCTTTTTTTTTCAGGATACTTTTATCAATAGAAAGTAAAAAAAATACAAAGTTCTGGCATGAAACTGACATGAAAATGGCTCAGGCTGGCTTTAACTCATGGTGCGTTCACGTGCTATGTGAACTGGTATTTTGTTGTCGTAATGTGGTAAAAAGATGGCGATCCAGACCTGTTATTTAGCCAAAACTATTTTAAATTACTTAAGTCATCTGCTACAGCAAGAAAATGATTCATCAAAACTCAAATGGTAAATAATATGCTGTATATTTTCTAGATCATGAATTTTGTGTATATCAATGTATATCATATCAAAGCGGTGTGTGTTTGTGTGTGTGTCTTTCTCTTTCACTAGGCGTGGTCCGATGCCTTCCGCAGCTCTCCAGATTTGACGGGTGTTGTAACCGTGTATGAAGATCTCAGGAGAAAAGGTGTGGAGTTTCCCATGACTGAACTGAATGGGTATTCCCCTATTCACACTCCCAACAGGGTATAACTGCTGCATTTTCAAATACTTGTTGAAGCAGCTTTTTATTAACAATTATAAATGCATAAATTCAATTTGGAATGCATAACTGTTAAAAAAAAGCTGCACATAGTAGATTATCTCTAGAGTGTTAGCATGCGATTTTTTGATTTATTAATTAATGCTTGATGCCAACAGACAGTTGAGTCCGCGCCTTCGGTAAGGGCGCATGCAGAAAGTCACACCATCAAATCCTCACAGCCACAGAGTACAGAGACACCCGTCACACTGTCACCTCAACAGGTATCACACACACCAGCATAGCAAAGCTAACTAGCATGTCACGTCACGTTTAAAGGAATAGTTCACTTCAAAATGAAAATATTCATCATTTACTCACTTTCAAGTTGTTCCAAACCTGTATGAATTACTTTCTTCTGCTGAACACAAAGGAAAATATTTCGAAAAAAAATACTATGGAAGTCAATGGGGTCCATCAACTGTTTACGACATTCTTCAAAATATATTTTTTTGTTTTCAGCAGAAGAAAGAAATTCATACAGGTTTGAAACAATTTGAGGGGGAGTAAATAATGACAGTATTTTCATTTTGAAGTGAACTATTTCTTTAAAATAAAGGATGGGTGGGGCAAAAAAAGATTGTTTTCCTCAGTGTTTTTGTCCTGTTTTCCAACACAAATATCTAAACATGTTTGATGCATTAACTTGAGATGCAAATGTAAAATGAAATCTTGAAAAGTTTAACAAAATGTTAAAGAGTCTATGCAAATATCAGTCAATGAGTTATGAAAATTTCCCTTTGAATTAAGTTGATTTTTCTGAGCCCATTGTCAGATATCTGTTCTTGTTTTAAGCATAAACTCAATTCATTAAATGCATCTTGATTTAAGAATCTTCTCACAATTGTACTGAGGAAGAACATCACTTTTGTGCAGTGTGTTGTCAGACGGTACAGTAAAAGTTATGTACATATTCTGGATGTTGGAAGTTGCATTTTCAAATTCTAAAGTTTTGCTAATACAACTCATTATTTTTCTCCCTAGACATTCACATTTAGAGAAAATATTGACATATTGAGTTCTCTTCAATAAATTAAATATTCTTGCATCTACATTTTTATATTTTCTTTACCTTCATAAAACCTGCAGATACCCTGAGAGAAAGGAAAATAGAATTAGAAATGAACAAATTGTTATGGATTGAGTAAACATACTACAAAAGTAACCAGAGGGCCTCAGATTAGGTTTAAATGAATACTTTTTTTAATATTAATATTATTTAATAATTTGTACAGTATATACATAGTAATTTGCATATTACATGGTTATAATGGTCAATGCAAAAATAACCTCCAACCAGGTTATTTAGATGGATTGTATTTATTTATTTACTATTCTACACAACATGATCTATACATGTGTGTGTGTGCACTCTTATCATTATGAATTAATTCTGTCACTGACCAATGAAGAATTATGGTGGTTACATATTAAATTAACATTAATTTCTTGGCATTAATTAATGCATTATATATCATGAAGTAACTTTTTAGCATTTATCAAACTGGGTTCATGTTATTTTATGAATGAATATACTATTGCTCATTGTAATTATTTTAAATTAACTGATGTTAATTTATACAACTTGAAATGTAAAAAATCTGTTGGTATATGTAGAAATGAACCAAGATAAGTATGTGAATGCTGTAAAATTGTTGTTTTTATAAGTATAATATTGAATAGTGCTGGTTTCAAGTGTGTTTGTGTTTCAGATGAAGACATTGAGGGCTGAACTGGAGGTGGTGCGTAATAATATATCTGTGATGTCAGACATGATGAGTCAGATGGAGCCTGGAAGTCTCGAGCCGACGGACACAGAGCTGCTACAGGTTGGAATCGGACTCAAACACACACTCTTACTCTCTCCTGCATGTACACACTCATCCTCTAGTGTATAAATGTGATGGGCTGTTGCTGTTTCTCTACTCTCTCTGGCGGTCAGTAGCAGCTGTACTCCATGAGCAAGGACATGCAGGGCCGGATGGTGGAGCTCATACCCCGACTGACAGAGGAGCCGCTCATAGAGCAGTTACTCACTGCCAATGATGACGTTAACACCACGTTTGCACAATATCACAGGTTAGAGGCATGATGTTTGAGAACGTGCCATGAATATTTCATCTGTAAACTTTCATGTCATGCACATGGAGACCTGCAAGGTTTGAAAAATATGGTGAATAAGTATCTGACTGATGATGGATCTGGTCTGCTTTTATTATATTAAAAATAGTTAAAGTACACATCAGTTGTTTAGGTTAACAATTCCACCGTGAAGTTGTTTTTTCTTTACATTTCTGAGAGAATCTCACACACTATAAACACAAATTCCAAATAGCATGGTACTTTATCTTAGTTAGAAATAGTATTAGTAATAGTAAGAATAGTATGCTATATCCAAACAAAAACTGTGCGGGCACATCCCCAATTATCAAGACACTTGACCTCCTGACCTTAGGCACTATATTTATCCGTCAGTGTACTGCCCCCCAGTGGACAACAAAATAATTGCATGATGAACACAAAAAATGCATTGCCCGGGCATGTTATGCTGGTCTCATTTGCTAGCATTAGTTAATGGGTTGACTAGCAGTGAACAGTATATTTTTACAGCATGAATTAGCCTTTGTTAATGTTAGATAATAAATATGTTCACATTTGACTTTTGATCTTAAAGTAATATTAATAAATGCTGTAGAAATATTGTTCATTCTTAGTTTATTTTCACTAATGTAGTTAACTAATGAAACCTTATTGTAAAGTGTAAACCATTAAAACTATTAAAAGCTTTTTTGTTCATTGAAATGAATCTGATAAAATAAAATATAAATGTTAGATGGGAGAAAAGTTGACTCTGCAACTAACTGAAATAAGTTTAATAAGTTGAAGCTGCTGAAGGATTAAAAATACTAACTGGAAATTAATAAAAACTGTTATAAAAATAAATTAAAACTTAATAGTAATATTAAAATAATAACAATTCAAATGACAAAAGCACATAACAAAACAAAACAAAAAAATGTTGAAAACAAATGAAAGTTATTTCAAATTAATGTTCCTAAAATGTTCCAATTGACCTAGATGATCCTAATATTGGCAATTATAGGAATTATGAAATTTCATTTATATGTTTAGCATGGCAGGGTTCCCACAATCTAGGCATAAAAGCTTGGCATACATTTCTGTAAATATATTACAATATATAGAAAAAAATCCTTGTAAACTAAGCATGACCAACTGTTGAACTCATGAAAATTGATTTGCTAAAAAAGTGTAACCCACATCAAATTAGTATAATTAATAACTTGTCTCATCTGTGTGACTCAACTACTTCTTTTTTATTTATTTTTTTCAGATTTGAAAGACATCTCAACCGACAGAGCAGTGCACAGTCTGTAAGAATTTATCAATTTAATATTAAATATTAATAGTATAGATAGATTCCTTACTTGATTTTTTTTTTTGTTATTTTCCAGAATCCAGCAAATCCAAAAGCACCAAATAGTGCCCACAATGCAGTCAGCCAATCAACAGTGACCACACTATCCAATCAGATGGCAGGATTGAGTAAGTGCCAATTTTGCTTATATTTTTTTTGTCCACATTTTATTCTCAACCTTCAGTTAATAATACATAATTTTGTTGCATGATTTGCTACAGGCACAAAAACAGATGCGCTAAAACTAAATAAAAGCAGCTCATTACAAAAAAGGTAAGAATTAAAGCAGTTTATATGTGTAATTTGAGTCTCATTTTATTAAATTACATTAAAAACTAGAGCTGTGAGCAAATGTTATTGGCTATAAAGTGACCTTGATTGTTTAAATTGATTGCCCCTCTTTTGCTATTTAAAGGTTCCTAACTTTTCTCACAATGTCTGCAAAGATTGGATAAAGGATTCAATCTTTCTCTCTAAACCCCTCCTCTCCTAGAGCTACTCTGCTCTGATTGGTCAGATCTGTTGCCCAGTTTGTTGTGACTGGCCTTCTCTGCTCTGATTGGTCAGATCTGATCAATCAGAGCAGAGAAACGCATGTTGGAAAGCAAACGGCCATAACCATATTTGAATTGGAGGCTTCCTCAGCAATGGATACACAGTGACTATAGTATATTTTTATTAGAAATAAAGTATGTGTTTGTATAATAGCCTGGAAATAATATGAGCATGTAAAGGGCTGTACACACCGGGACGAATATCGGCGAACGTTATTTGCCAGTGTTTTTCAACACGTTTTTTGTGTTCGCACCCAAGCGATTTTCGGTGACGATGAGCCGAGTAAACATGCAAATTCATTCCCTGACATTAGATGCCGCTCTGCAATAGCACTCCATATCAGTTCTCTTTTATGAAGATTTTTGTAGTCGCTGTCACGCTTGTCATATAGTTCTTTATGTTCTAACACCAACGAGACCAGCAGCTCTACATTAATCTTGCCTCGCATCTTCCTTGACTTATTTCTTCCTGACTGTGTAGACGGCGACTCTACTTGGCGTATAACCAGACAGTTTCTGGTCCCATTGACTTCCATATATACTACATATACTACTTCCATATACTATGGAAGTCAATGAGACTAGAAACTGTTTGTATACTGATGTTCTTCTAAATATCAGAAAATCGCCTGAATTGATTTGAAAACGATAAAACCAAACTGTTTAACTCTGGGGGAGTGGTAAAATGAGCCATTATTTATCCCTTTAAATAAACAGTGTGTTGTATAGAAAGTTTCTGTTGCTCACTTTGCATGATTTGATGTAATGGTTTTTGTTATATCCAAAGCAATTTACAATTGTGATTTCTCGATAGTCCAGAAAGCTGTGCAGCTCTCGAGGGACCGGCAGCCACACAAAGACAGCGACAGGACACTGGAGCGGTAAGTGTCTTTAAATTATTTAACGCTACAGAAAGGATATCATGTTTGAAATGGTGTTCAAATAGCAGCTCTTTGTATCATGAGAGAGCAGTCAGGATGTTCCTCTGGTTGTTTTCACCTGCCATTGTTCCTCACTTAAAACGGTTGTCTGTCTATGTTAAGGATGACAGCCTAGACTCCACCTCCCTCGGCAGCTCACCTCAGTTTCATTGGATGCTTGAGAGGGGAATGGTGGGTCTGATTGGCCGATGAGATGGACAGTTGGTTGAGCTTGTGTACCTGTTGCTCTGGGCTCGTGTTTTATTTCAGCATGTCATATTTTTTTCTCCTTTGGTGAACGACGAGTGTCTGCTGTCTTGCTTTTGTGTCTCCTGCATGTTTTGAGCTTCATCGTCTTTATTTGCTGAAGGTTTTGTGGATCTTTTTGGTGTTTAGTTCATTCTGTCCTTCAGGCCTGCTCAGTGACGTATTTTTGGTGTTCCCATTTCAAACCAACTTGTTTCCGATTCTCAGGACTGAAACATACCGATTTTTCTTTTATACTTTAAAGTAGTGTAACGCTTGTTTGAGATGGGTGTGGTTTGGAACTGATAGTTGTACTTTATTATGCTAAAGTGAACTGATTCATATTTTTTGCTTCTGCTGTCAGATCCCTGTCAGTCAGACTGAAGTGATGGATGACATTGAGCAATGGCTTGACATGGAGGATGTGAGTGAAACGTTCTTAAACCTCTTAGAATGGGAATTGAAAGAGAAATAACAGTTTTAATTCTGATTCCACTTAACAATTGTGTATGTATGTATATATAAATAGGGCTGGGCAACGATTAATCGCAATTAATCACATCCAAAATAAAAGTTTGTGTTTACATAATATATGTGTGTGTACTGTGTATGATTATTTTGTATATAAAAATTCACACACATGTATGTATATATTTAAGAAAAATGTGTTATTAATATAAAATATTAATATTTATATTTAATATAAATAATGTAAAAATATATATCAAGTATATACATCCATGTGTGTATATTTATATATACAAAATAACACTACACACACATATATTATGTAAACACAGACTTTTATTTTGGATATGATTAATCGCGATTAATCGTGTGTGTGTATATATATATATATATATATATATATATATGTGTGTGTATAGTAATGTTTAAAAACAATTTATTTGGCAATATGCATTAAATTGACTAAAATGACTTTAAAGACATTTATAATGTTACAAAATATTTCTACTTCTAATAAATTCTGTTCTTTTGAATATGCTATTAATCAAAGACTTGAATCCTATTTACATAATTTTTTTGTTACTTTTTTTTATATATAATTAAAAGATTTGTGAATGTCACGAAATGTTGCACTGAATCTTGCTATAAAACCAGAGATATTTATGAAGAAAGTGAAATCTTAAAACACTGATTATTGTTTCCTGTATTTCATAAGTATATTTTTGTGTTGCAGGAAGATGACTCAGAGGGGGTGACTAGTGAAGGTATTCTTCTTTTTGTATGCTTATGTACTAATATGGCTAATATGATAATGCTTTCAGCTACAAATAAGACTTGTACTATTATGGGAATAATATCCCATATACTATAAGCAGCAAGTAATGCCTTTTGCCACATTTATATCAATGCAGATTTTAAATGAACAGAGAAAATGTGTAAAAAATAAACAAATAAAAAATCCATGTCAAGATTATATTTTTGCATGTTCGCATGTAAGCTTTTCTTCTGCATGTTAAATTAGAGGCCAACTTTGAATGTTTTTTCCCCCAACCCCATTCTGTCTTGAATGATCCAGTCTTCCTCTTGTAAGAGTCTCAGTCAAACCTGCCGAATGTCCTTTAAGTCACGTACACCTACGCCCACACGCTACTCGTGATCTTTACTTCCTATTTAATGGAAGTAGTATGTGGCATTGTTGTGTTCCTGCTTGTGGGTTTACGCTGTATACATCTGCCCAATTCTTAACTTCTTATTGTAATCTGAAAACGCTTAGCTCGGTGATTCATTTTTACACTCTTTCTGGTACTTTCCAAACACAGCAAAAATGCTATTAGGCTTCATAAATGCATTTCTTCATATGGCAATTGCTGTATGTCCATATATGGCATTTCCTATTGTCTCAAGTCGTGTTTGAATCAAGGCAAGCAGCATTTCTTGCAGTTGTGTGAAAGACATAATTTCTCTTTCTCACCCTCAGAGTTCGATAAGTTTCTAGCGGAGAGAGCGAAAGCAGCCGAACGTCTTCCTTCAGTAAAAGCGTCACCCCACGACCCCGGCCGTTCACAGCTGTAGCTCTGGATTGGATTTACATCTCGACGTAAAACATTTGTTTCAGTTAACAACCATGTTCTTACTTTTCGGGTTGTGTATAGTAATTCTGGTTTATTTCTAACCATTTTAGGAACCTAACTTTAGGTGCGGGTTATGTGGATGTTTCATATTACACTAATTTTGATTTTGCAGATGCCATCTTATGAAATATTATTTATAACTAGACACTAATTTCTTCAGTAATGTTGTTTCAGTTGTAGAGGTCATTTTCTTTCATTGTTTAATGGAGAAAGCCTCAATGGTGACACATGAAGAACTTTATTTAAAGCGATACTCCACTTTTTTTGGAAATAGGCTCATTTTACAACTCCCCCAGAGTTAAACAGTTGAGTTTTACCGTTTTCAAATCCATTCAGCCGATTTTCTGATATTTAGAAGAATATCAGTAACCAGAAAAAATATATATTATGGAAGTCAATGAGACCAGAAACTGTCTGGTTACTGATATTCTTCTAAATATCAGAAAATCGGCTGAATGGATTTGAAAACGGTAAAACTCAACTGTTTAACTCTGGGGGAGTTGTAAAATGAGCCTATTTCCAAAAAAAGTGGAGTATCCCTTTAAGATCTTGATCGTTGAGGTTAAAGCCGTTGTCTGTATAAACTAAATGTTTTATATTAGACTGGTTTGAAGTGGCTCTTACAGAGAGAAAAATGGAAGTTTGTCGGTAAGTTTCTTTCTTACAATAATTGTGGTTACTGTATGTCTCTAGAGAAGGGGTGGCGAACATCCTGGAGAGATTTGCTCTAACCCTGATAAAACTTGCATGCCTTTAGCTTTTGAGTAACCTCAGAGCTTGATGAGCTTCTTCAGGTGTGTTTGCTTAGGGTTGATCAAAACTCTGCAGGACTGTGGCTCTCCAAGACCTACATTCGCCACCCTTGCTCTAGTATATGAGCTATTAGTGTTTGTAATCCATGTACAACCTTAAACAGCTCATTTTAGGGGTTATGTTAAAATATATTTAATAAAATTAAGGTTATTTTAAAATGCGTTTATAACTATAAATACACACACAGCATGTTTTCTGTATATAGAGAGAGTACTGGTACACATTCTCTTTTTGTGTGTATAGTTAGTTTGTCAAAACATACTTGAACAGTAATCAAGAATGTTTTGTTAATGATTACTAATCTATTAGTGAAACAATGCACCAATGATATTCTGTCTCTTCAGCAATTGTCCGAAGAGTTTGCACAGTACCTAACACCGGTATATTTGTAGAAGTACACTAACTCCGACTGAACACGTTTCGCAAAACATAACTTGAGGCAAGCCTGTTAGAAGAGATTTGCATGTGCTGCTTGACCTCTAGCGTAATAAATAAAAGCCGCAAAAATGATTCGAATCATTTTACTTTATTGCTCAAAACATGTAACATATGCAGGCAGCAAAATCCACATTGTAGACATATACATTTAAAACGTACCAAACAATGCAAGACTTTCAAGCAAACTTCTTAAAGGATATCTCAGTATTTCATTTATGCATTCCTTTTTGGAAAATAAATAGTTATTTTTAACCAAATAATTAGCAACTTCATAATAAGACACTTCCTTATTGTAAAAAAGTCCATTAACTAGGTCATGTTCGTTTTCTGTCTAAATAAATATTATTAAAATAAGGCACAATGAAGCTTAAGTTAGAGTGCATGTAAAGGTAAAGGATAAGTGCTATCAAAATCAATGGGAGAGGACAGTCTTTAGTCAGGCACTATTCACACTGTAAAGTTGAGTTCAACACAAAATCAATCTGCTTGTAACATTTTGGAGCTGAATCCAACAAAACTAACTGTTTAGTTAAGAAACCCCCATATAATAAAACGATAAAAACTCATTACCTGTCTTCACTGTAAGCGACTGGGCATGCAGTGTTGCTCATTTGCTGTGTAGACAGCTTTGATACAAACTTCCAGTGTAGGCACTTCGTGAGAAGTCAAAACACTGTCATGTCAGGACAGGCACTAACCCAAGTTCTTATAAATACTCAGGTAATGTGAACAAGTGCTTGTTGCAACACCCTTGAGGAAAATCACATGACTCTAGGAAATTCAGGTGTTTAGGGATTCCCCCAAAAAATCCTACTGGAGGCATTAAATTAGATCTCAAGTTTCAGAAGATAGATATTTCCACATATTATAAACTACATTTCCAATTCTGAGATGGAAAGTAAACCGTTCAGCCACATACTCACCTACATATCATTACAAACCTGTACGACTTTGTTCTATATTAACATAAAAGATATTTTGAGAAATTAAGATTAAATTTGAGAAACAGATTACCTCTTCTTCTGTTTTTGCCATTTGCTCTCTAGGGCTCTTTTTACACCTGGTATTAAGATGTGTTTGTCAATCGGATAACAAGTGGACGACACTAAATAAGTGTAAACGGGGTCTAAAACTTTTTGGGTTAGAAGTCCAGAGGCAGTCAAACAGCCATAAAAGACCGGCGACTCTAGCCCTTTGCGCTCTAGCCTTTTGCGCTCTAGCCTTTGTCGGCTGGAGACACAAATTTGGTTTAAAGATAGATAAATATGCTGCATAGAGGTTTAGTAAATAGTACATTTAATTTATAAAGCACATTTACACATAGCATAAAACTGACCAAAGTGCTGTACAGTGAAGCACAGAACACAAATATATGTACAAAGAAATGAGCAGGAGTGCAGGGTTAGGGCACAAGGAAGGCCAGGGAATAAAAATGGGGTTTTAGCCTGGATTTGAGGGCAGAATGGGATCTAATATCCAGGGGGAGCTGGTTCCACAGACGTGGAGCAGAAACTGCAAAAGCTCTATCACCCCTCTGAGCCGTGAGCACGGCACATGCAGGAGTCCTTTGTTTGAGGATCTTAGTGACCTTTGAACTGAGTATGGCTGTACAAGGTCAGTAATATAGGTTAGGGCCAGCCCATTTAGTGCCTTAAAAACAAACAATACAACTTTGAACTGAATCCTAAAAAGAACTGGGAGCCAGTGCATGGAGGCCAGAATGGCCAGTTAAAAGACGCGCAGCTGCGTTTTAGACTAACTGCAAACATCTAAGTGAGGATTGGGGGAGGCCAAGGTAGAGGGAATTACAATAATCCAGCTGTGCTGTAATAAACGCATGGATAACTTTCTCAAGGTCATTGTGAGATAGGAATGATTTTAAGCGGGAGATCATTCTGAGCTGGTAAAAAAACATTTTTGACAACAGAGATAATCTGTTTATCAAGGCAGAGTTCTGGGTCAAGGATGACACCCGGGTTTCTGGCATAGGGTTTGACACAAGGGGTGACCTAGATTTTGCACAACAGTGCATCTTGCCTTGGGAGCTCAAAAATTACGACTTCTGTCTTCTCACCATTTAACTGGAGAAAGTTGTTAGCCATCCACCTTTTGATGTATTCAAGACTTGTATTGAGTCTGTATTGATTATCGAGGCAAGTACAGCTGCGAGTCATCCACATAAAACCTGACTGAAAAAGTTCTAGTATGTTGTGAGTGGTCAGAAAGGGAAACTGTGACAAAACAGCTTTTTCCAGAACTTTAGAAATGCTATTAAAATGATGCATAGTTTAGTTTAATTATGGTTATAACGCAGTTCTGATGTCAGAAGTAAATGACGACTACTATGTTCACTCGTACGTCCAACAACAAAACACCTTAGTTGCTTACGAGACATTCTGGTCTACAGCTGCTCCGCGTCTGTGTACAGCACACTCAGGGCAGGTCTATGCTAATACGGCAGTGTCCATCAACAGTCATTGGCGGGGCCTGTGCAAACGTACGTCACTTTGCCCTGAATCTGAAAACAGTTTGTTCTGAGACAGAGCTTACGATTTATGTGGAATAATGATAAAAAAAAGATTAAAAGCATGACCTTATCATGATTTCTCTGTGAAAACATTCATCCAATTTTTTTTTTTTTTTTTGCACCAATAAGTGCATAAGCTCATCAAAACGGTTATTAGCATTAAAGGGCACCTATTATGGAAAATTCACTTTTACATGGTGTTTGAACATAAATGTGTGTTGGCAGTGTGTGAGCAAAACCACCCTGGAATGATAAAAATCCACCCAGTGTTTTTTTTACAATCTCAATAAATCATATGCACTGCCTCAGAACGAGCTGTTCTGAGATTCAGATCTTTGTGACGTAGAACGGGAGACAGGGGTTTGATTGACAGTGTGGCTGTGGCCTAGACCCCGCCCTTGGTGATCTGTACACACATCCTCCATTGTTTCAACGACAGCCTGTATGTCTCTTGGAAACATAACTTATCGACTCGTGGGTTAATCTTGTTGTTGTGGCTTAAAAGTTAATCCTCAAGTGTGGATCGTCATCTACTGTTTGCGATCCACTGTCACCTCCAGTAACAGTAAGTGTATTTTATGATTTTTGAGCAAATAGTTTTCAGTCGATGTCAGCCAATTCAACAACAAAAGCGTCTAAAATTGTTGTCGTCGTAGAATGTCAGTGTATATAATTTAAACCTTGTTTGTATAGTGTGTAACCACACGTTTATAAATATATATTTTTAAAGATATTGTTTTAAAAACCGCATATATGTTGGTGTTCTGTATGTTAGCCATCTTCTCACATTTGCCACAGAAGCACCTGTATGACAAGTAAACATGACGCCACAGCTCCCTCGCATAAATGTAATTTCGCTTGTAAGTTACGTAGCAAACTTTATCACAGCATGTGTATGTAACGTTAGTTTAAAAAAAAAAATGCGCCAGCGTTAGTGTTTGTTTGTCTGTGTGTGTGTGTGTTGCTCCTCCATACTTGCAAAGAGGACGCGATTACAACTCGTAAGTACATAAATGTATCAAATAACCATACCGAGACGTACTGGTCCATTCTCATATGTGTTTATTCTGCCGGAGTCTCTTTGTGCTATTTATATATTCCGATTTAAACGTACGCTGAATGACAGACAAAACAGCGCGTCTCTCACACTCTTCCCTTCTGCTTACCGACGGCCATAGGTTTCAAGTTACGCCCTCATCCAAAGGCAGGGCGGGAATATGCAGCTCATTTGCATTAAAGTGGCAGGCCTCAAAACAGCTCATTTTCAAACAGGCCCCAAAATGACATTTTCAAAGGGTTATAATAAATTAACTATGGGGTATTTTGAGCTGAAACTTCACAAATACATTCTGGGGACACCCGAGACCAATATTACATCTTGTAAAAAGGAGCATAATAGGTGCCCTTTAATCAATATTTGAAACAATAGTACCCATATATATATCTTAAGGACACTTCACTGGTACAGTGCTTTTTTTTCTCTTCAAGTTGAACGGCTGTTGATGACAGCTTGCATTGACCTTAACCAACTTAGGTCCGTTTCGTGCAATAGATGAAACTCCCTCTTTGCTCATTTAAGTGTGCTGGACATTCAAGGTGATCCATAAGTGTATACGGCCTTTGTCAGGTTTGGCAAAAGTCAAGATCGTGCGGTCCAGAGGGTCAAAGCAAAAGATCAGTCACCCAAAAGCTTGTGCACGGTGTGTTCTCCTGAGTGCACAGTAGTAATAAAGTTCCTTGACCAGTACACATCACATTCTGTCAGTGGGACGGACATGTCGAGCAGATTTGAGGGGAAGTATATCCATCTTCTGAGTCTTTAAACTTGGCTTCAAATGTTCGTCCAAGAATTCTTGGTCATCAATTCATCAAAAATGATCATCTATATAGAAAAGAGGTGAAGAGATCATGAGCAATAAGAACATGGGCATTAAGACCCATTCAATCCAAGACTCCTTTGTTAACATGAACAATATATTTTACTGCATTTATTAATAGTGCATTAATTACTGTAAATGGATACAAATTAATCTTAAAAATGTATTTGAAAATATTGAGATTAACGAAGATTAACAAACGATGTGGAGTATTGTTCATGGTTTGTTCACGTTTACACGTGTTAAGTGTTACAAAGATATCTATAAAGATAAATATATTAGCGTCCATGGCAATAAACAATAACATTGTTTATTATAAGCGTGCTGTCTCATGAGCCAGCTGTACACACTTGTATATGCGTGTTATTCAGAGAAACCTTGCAGCTGAAGCTCTAATACAGCTTTTCTTTCTCTTTAACTGTATATAATAGAATGCATTTAGGATGAAATTAAATTGTATTTAATCTTTTTATTATATAATTTTATATATGGACTATATAGCCTAATACAATCAATGCCACATACTTCAATATAGTTATAGTCATGTTAGGATGAAATAACTTCTTAACACGATTGTAAGACCGTACGTACAAAGTGCTTTTTGTGTACGTCTGGTTTTAGTTGCTCCTATATTTTCCCCTAAATTTAAAATAAATTTAATTAAGACATTTTTGGTGAATCATGATTTGTTCTTAAAATCATTTCATGCATGCTTAGTGAACGAGACCCTATATGGCACGAGTGATTTTATTTGGTGCTTTTTGTGCATTCACGCGTCTGCCGAGTTGAAAAATCTGAGCTTGGGCATCAGTTCGTGCCACGTTAACCAATTAGGAGCATGCTTACTGCTGTCACGTGGTGAAGTGACATGATAAACGGGGGCAGGCTTTTCAGTTTATAATGTTATTTTATATGTTGAAATTATTTTGTATTGTAATATGACTAAATGCCTGGTGTTATTTTTAATGTACAACAGAGCAAATATTTGATCACGTAAAAGCTTGATTTCAATATATGAGACATTAATTTTGTATTGAATGCTATTTATTCCATTTCTAATCTAGATTATATGAAAAATTATTTAGTCCTTTGCCTCAAATACAGGATTATACATTCATTTCAACAAGCAGGTTGTTCATTACCAACAAGCACTTTACACTTTCTCCCCATGGATATCCGTTTTCTATCGTTAGCTGTAGGGATGGGCGATATGGACTTAAAAATATATCACGATATTTTCTGGCATTTATTGCGATAACGATATCAATGACATAAATTATGTAAATAATACCATATTCACCACTGTTTTTGGCTAAAACAGTGATAGCTGCAAGTAAAATGTACCCTTCATCAAATGGGCTTCTATAAACTACCAATTACCGTACATACAATAATTTAAAAAACAGTAAAAATCCAAACGCCATCCCTGTGTAAAGCCCACACCAACATTTCTGATTGGTGCCGCGATTTTGACGGATTGGAAATGAGCTTGAATGAGCTCTTTGTCAGACTAACTTTCAGAGCAAATCTAAAATTGCCTGGAAGTTGTCTGGGTTTTCCCAGGCTATGAGTAGCCCCAATGCCCTCAATAATGCGGAAGATGGGGAAAATCCTTTGACACACATCCTATATAACCCTTCTTTACACTGTCTTCAAACATTCATCAAAACCATCTGTCAAAACTACATGATACATGACTAGGAAAGCTAATAGGTCAAATCTTCTGTCAAAACGATGAAATATAATAGGATAGTCAATAGGTCAAGCTAACTGTCAAAAACACATGATCAACGGATAACAAGGTCAAAGGTTAATCCCTAACCCCTACACCGGAAGGTCAACCTGTCAATCAAATAGGCCATCAATCATTTTGACATAAGCCGGGTGGTAATAACTACTTAGGGGGTTCCCAGGACAGGTTTGAGAAGCACTGTGACTGTTCTATAGGGCTGGACCCGAATATTCGTTCGGTCGGTTGGGATTCGATTTGAAAATGTAACATTTCAAATATTATTATTTTGTTGTTGTTTTTTGCACAACTGGCATCCCCCTCGAAACAGTTCTCATTCGCACTTGAATCTGGTGAAATATAATACTTAAATACTTTGTTATAGCTACTGAATAAATATATTTGCTTCTTCATGGACTACTAAAAGTGTTCCTGCAATGGGAGCATTCTCTGGCTAGAGCGCAGAACACCGGAGTTTGAATGGACAGAAGTCCATGCCTCTTATTTTAGGTTAAGCTGTGTTACTTTGACATTGTGGAAAATAGAATAGAAACAAAATGTATTATCCTTTTTTCCCATTATTATCAATCTAAATTAATTTTCTTCGAAATATAGGAGACTTTGAGATGTTACTGGGGTGTCACGTCACAATTTCATTTCAAATTTCATTTTTCACTATTTAAATTTCATTTTTATTTATTTAAATTGACCCGACTTTGTCAGTGTGAAAAATATTTTAAGACTATACCTTATTAAAAATATTGCTTAAGTTAACAGACCTGTGCGTGTTTTATATTCCTGGTGCAGTGTCCGTTCTCGGACCATATAAGCTCTGCTTGCGTGAGCCGTGCAGCTTCCCGAAGCATCGAAGCTCAAAAAATGGTATTCAGATCAGTCCTACTATTCTAACAGATACACAATACTGCATGCAAATGAAAGCCAGTGTAGGTCACAATTAATTTGTCTCACCTCTATGAAGAATATGGACGAACGGAGCTTTGGCCATGCAATAATGGTGACGTTTCTTCCACTGAAAGTTTTATTTCTGGTAAAACATTACATATCAATTAATTTTTACCACAGTTTTTCATAGAGTTTAGAATGAATAAGGGTCACACTGTATTTTAGGTGTCTTTAACTAATATGCCCTTGCATAAAATTTTTAGGAACAATGTGTTAATTGTTTTTATGTTGTTTTGCAAAACACTGCTAGGCTAGTGACTGGGTAAGGTTAGGGAAAGGTTTGGTGGTCTGGTTATGGTTTAAGGGGGAAGGGACGGTCGACAGTGTAATTATAGATGTGATTCGAGAAATAAATGACATGCAGGTATTTTTTAAATACAAGTAAATTGTATAAAAAAAATAAAAATAAAAAAAGTCTATTTGGATCCCAATTTACTCTCTGGGAGTCTGACAACTAATAATACAAAACTACATTAATCAACAAAAATAAAAGCCAATAAAACAAAAAGTTTTAAAAACCCCAAATGCGTTCCAAATTTCAAAATCAACAATTTACTATACATTGTAAAGATTTTTTTTAATCTCATTTTACTTGTAAAAAATGTCATATCTGGTGGCAAGTCATTCCATATTTTCATTTCTCGATCTATAC